TGCTGGCTGGTGGGAGGACAACGAAGAGGGCATGGTCTCCTCCTCCGTGGAAGGGAGTTCCAGGGCCTGAGAGCAGCCACCAAGAAGCTCCTCTCTCACGATCCCACCAAATGCGCCACCAATAGTGGCATAATCCAGAAAAGGACTTCTCCCCAGAAATGTTAAAATGTATTCAAATGCAAGAGGGAGTTATTTTAGCTAGCTTGTTGTACAGAGATTCCTAAGTCAGTCAGCACTCTGAATTATTCTTGTGCTGTACAAACCAGTAGCCGGTGAAGCTGCTCTATGTGTACCCTGTTCCTTGCCCTGTAGAAAAGCCTTCTGAATCAGCTGAGGTTTCCAAACACTTTCAAAGACTGTGCCATTTAGAGTACACAAAAGTTACCTAGAAAGGATGGAACTAAGGTGTGTTTGACCATGGCCAGATCAGACATCTCTAGGGATGGGTACAGCAGCACTAGCCCCCAGCCTGCAAATACACTCCTAGCCATGGCCAAAGTCTGGGCATTCAGGCTCAGGGCTGAACCCAGTGATCCACTAGCAGATGTATGAGTGGAATAAATCCATCTACATATTGTAAAGAATTAACCAGTTTTGTCAAGGCAGGGACAGGCTGTGAATGAACTCAATTTGTGCTAAATTTCTTGAATTATGTGAAGTATCCTATACAAACAGGCATATGCATGTAACAATTCCACTCTAATCTTTCTCTGCATCTGTTTTAGCTTTTGCTTTGGATACCAGAGCCTGTTGCAGACTCACTGCAAAACCATGACATGTTGGAAAAACGAAACTGTAGATCCTTTCCCATAAGTAACACAGTGGCAGCAGTGGGAGTTTTCTGTTGGGAGCGTGTAATGAATCTACTTTAATTGCTGTACAACTAAATCACAGGCGTGTTTACTCAGAACTAATTCCTGTTGCATTCCGTTAGTCCATAGCAGGTTTATGTAGGACTGCAGAGACATAATCCAATTATACAAGTGATTACTCAGGAGTAACTTACTCCCAATTCAGTGCATATAGGAACACAGGAAACCATCTGATACTGAATCAGACTAGTGATTCAGCTAGCCCAGTATAGAAGAGATTGCCTGGCAGGGGCTCCCAATTACAGGTAGATATTTTCCGGCCCTACCTGGATATTCCAGGAAATGATCTGGGGTCTTACTGCATGCCAAGCAGATGCTCTGCCACCAAGTCATGGCCCCTTCTAACAACCAAGAAGTAGCTTACTTTTACTGGCTTAGAAACAACCAATGATGGGTTGCATGACACAACCTATGATGAGGCTGTGGTGTGTGTGGCCACCATTTGGGATATGCATCCTCACTTGGAGGTTGCTATGTTGTGGATTATGGGTATATTAAACAACTTTGACCTATTTTAGGATTATGTGAGGTTAACCCTAAATTTTCACATGACAACCCTTGAAAATTTAGGGTTAACCTCACATAACCCTGTGGGGGGGGGCGGTTAGGGTTACATGTGCAACTGCAGATACCACAGCTTTTTGTGGGTTAACTAGCCTATGAGTCAACATGGCATTGTTACCATCAGTGTGTCTTTTTCAGTGTAAACTACACACTGTATATGGTTACCTATAAGATCCCTCCAGGGTTTCTTGACAGGCAGCTATGGAAAGCATCTTGGCATAAGCTGCTTAATCCTTTTTTATTTTTATTGGTATTCTTCTGTCTGTAAATAGTAAGACATGAATCTTGGGAGCCTTGTTTGAGCTAAAAGTTGGCTCCTAAATTTATCAATCAATACTTGCAGCTTTTTCTTTACAATGTTGAAAAGCTGCTGGTGGTGATTTTGAGTGGGTAAGAGCATGTTCTTCCTATTTATCTTTCTTTCTTTCTTTCTCATTTGCAGCTTTTCATTTAAAAGAATCACTTGCCATACACAAAACATATGCATCCATATGGTGTGGAAGTGGTGGTTTGCCAAACAGATTCTACTGCTGTATTACTAATAATTAGTTTATTAAAATACTTATTTGTTTAAGCTTTTGTTATGTTAATATGTTATTGACTTATTTATAGGTTCACAACCATGGAACACCATGAAGAGATTGGAAACTAAAAGCTGTAAAAGATGAGAAGATGCACTGACATGGGAGTCATCTGCTTCTGCTAATAAAAGCACATCCAGTATAGAAAGTATAAAACAATAAAAACCTTTAAAGCATAGCAACAACAGTAAAACAGAGCAGTGTCATGACTGATTCAAGTGAGGGAAAGTCTGAATAAGCATATGCATTTTCCTCTCTCCCTCTCCCCCCGCCCCCCGCCCCCAAACATACACAACAGAAACATTGAACTACGTCAAAAGCTACATAAAGACAAACAGTAACTATCAGAGAGTCTTGAACTGGTCTTGAGAGTATTATTAATAGATTTGTATACATACATGCTCACACATACACACGTAAATATCCACAGTTCCTGTTCCTACTTCCCTAATACAGGTTGAGTAGGCTGACCAAATGTTGCAATGGGTGTTGAGATGAAGTTGTCATGGGTAGTATATTCTCTCAGAGGATGCCAGTGTTGTGAGGGTCTCAATCCACTGTGCGGTTGCAAGAGATGATTTGCCTTTCATGAGTCTCTTAGCCACCATGGGGCTCATATAGTCCAGAGGATTATTGTCTGGACTATTATTGTCTGGATTATTGTGGGAATGTAATTCAGCAATGCACTGGCATTTTTAAACATGAATGATGTATTTAGGACAAAGTTGATGGGTCTAACAACTTCTGTCCAGAAGGGCCTTCCACTGGGCATTTCCACTTCATGTGCACTAATGATGTTTCTGCCACCTCACATTGCCAACATTTATCTGAGGGTGATAGTTTTTCTGTTTTCTTTCTGAACAGGTGCTGTGTAGTCCAGTATGCCCAAATGAGCAGCTTTTTCAAAATAAGGCACAATTCTATGTCAGGAGATGTGGATTGTATGGAGCTATTTCTCACTGGTGTGGTTGGATGCAGGATTCTAATTCCCTTTTTCATTCCTCTCTGAGTGTCTGGGTATCAAAGTTTTGTGTTAAGAGCCCTTTGTAAATATATATATATAGTTGGCTTGGTACCAGTTTTGTAGAACCAGCTAAGTCTTCCAATAATGTTGGGGATTCTGAGGTAGTGAATGCTGCTGAGCAGTACGGGGAATAGAACACTCTTTATTTGAAGGTGTTGCCAGTGTGTGCATTTTCAAGAGTATCTGATGCTTGTCACAGATTCTGTCTCTCAAGTTGCATAACAACATACTGTTGGTTGTGGAATATCCAACAAAGTCAGATCTTCAGGTCATGTTTGGTGACTACAGGACAGGAAAGCTGATGGCTAGTATCATGGTTCCAAGTTGTTTAGAGCTTTGAATGTTAACAATAAAAATTGCCAACATGGCTCGGTAGCTAACAGGCAGACAGATGGTGCTGAATTGTTAACTCACCTATCCCCCTTTTCAATTCTGACCTAGAGGCCTTGCACCTGATGCCAAATGAGCAGGATTGTGATTCCTCAGTGGTAATGAAAGGCATGCTCCAATACATGACTCCTTGTTCCTAGTTAAATTCACTATTTCCAAGGGCTAAGCTCCATGATTCAGAAATGCTGCTGGGCTAGGAGCTCCAAGCCTGTGGGAAATCACTTAAATTCTTAAACCACTCCGTGGAAGTAACAGCAGTATAATTTCCCCAACCTTTCACCGGATACTCCTAGGTGAAATGGTGTTAATCTGTCTTCACTAGCATGCTACAGAGATTAATGACCACATCAAGGCTGACACATAAGCACATGTTCACCGCACAGCTGAGCACTGGGTACACTGAAAAGTACAATATTTGAGCTGAGCAGATGGGAAATAACGCTCTGCCTACACTGTTCAGTTTGGGACCGCCCTTTCCACTCGCGTCGCACACCCATCAAGTGACAAACTTGTCTGCTTCTTCCGCTATATTGATGCATTCCTTGCCCAGATAGCCCACCTTTCCTTCAAGGAGCAAACTTCTTCTTCCTTCCTTCCTATTTTAATTGAAAGTTTTAAAGCCCAGTCGCAATGCTTTATCAAGCCATTCTTTATCATTCCCCCGCGCCCCAGTTCCATTCTTCGCAGCGCCCTTCTGCTGTCCCCGCTTCGCCAATGCTTAGCTAACACCGAGTACTCGGGGGCGCAGTCCTGTGCGCCTGGCGTCCTCGAAGAATAGCAGGCATTCCAAATGTGGCCAGGATCCGTCCTTTGCCGACGTCCCAGGGCCAGAAGTGTCACTCTCCTGGAGGGAATATCGCGGACTTCAACGTTTCTGTTTTCCGGTCGAAAACAGATCCAGCCTGTGTATCGTGGGAACGTAGTGTGAGGACGAGGGAAGGTGCAGGCGGGGGCTCCGACAATGCCACCCTGACACGTTCTCCACATGCAATCACTGTGTGGCTGCGCCTTTGCGTACATGAGCGCCCACCCCCGCCAAGGAAGGAGCGCGAGCCAGAGCGCGCGCAATCAAGCTGCCCGCGTCTGGCTAGAAAAGGGAGTCGCTGCCGCTGCCGCTGCCTGCTGCGTCCTCCCGAAGGAGGCGAGCGAAAGAGAGCGCCGAACTTAAATAGGGAGCTCCGCAGTCCCTCGTTTTCCTCACACGTTGCCTGTGTGGACCGACGGAGTGCCAGATAGCCAGCCTGCCTCCGGGCAAACGCAATCTTCTGCCCGTGTCAACACCGCCCCGTGTTCCCGCTCCGTCACGCCCTCCCTCCCCTCTTCAGTTAGCGAAGAAGGCGCAGAGCTGCGGAGCGGACCGGAGAGCCGCCTCGACAGAGCGCTCCATAGCGGCGCCCGCCTTTTCTTCCGGGCCTCCTGGCTGGCTCTCCCGCGGCGTTTGCCGCTTCAGAGGCGCCGCCACCCGCGCCGCCCGGCAGTGCGTGCGCGTGTGATCGGGGATGCAATGCCAGGCACGCGCCTCGCTGAGTTCGCCTTTCAGAAAGGACTAATCTAGCTGCATGGGAGGAAATGAATGTGGCGGGGAAGCCGTCTCCTCCAGCACAGCTGGGGCGCCCGGACAGCCTCCTCGTCCCCACTTGGGCAAGTACCCCGCCGCCTCGCTAACCCCGGCCGCGCGCCTCCTTCCCCGCCTCCGCGTCGCTCCCTCCCTCTCCCGCCAAGCCATCCCCTCCTGGCTTCGCTTTTCGGCGGCAGCTTTTGCCGCGCAAAGCCCACCGGAGAGCCGCTTGCGCCTCGGCGCGTGTTTGGGTAGCAGTGAGTCTCGTGTCAGCTGGCTCATTTCGTGTGTGTGTGTGCGTGTGTGTGTGCGCGCGCGCGCGCGTGCGGCAGAACCTGTCGTCGTGGAACTTGAAGAAAACCTCGAACTTGCGCGCCAGGGGGGCAGTTAAACGAGGAGGGAGTTGATGATGGTGGTGATGTTATTGCAATCCTCTACAGACCTACCTCTACAGACCTACCTGTTTTCTCCATTGGACTCCGTGGGATTTAATTCCTAGGAGTCGGGCATAGGAGAGCAGACGTGCATAGGAGAGTGCTGATAAAGTCGGGATTAAGGGGTTGCAGCTGCGGTTAGTCTAAAAAAATCCCGTTCATTTCAGTGGTAGGACTAAGCTTGGAGGGGATTTGTCCAAGTTCAGAGGAAGGAGAGCGACCTGTTGTGGTTATAGGGAGCTGAGAGCAACAACGCTCGTTTCAGCGAGAAAGGGGGGAGATAGTTCAGTCTGAAGAGAAGTATCCCCTTGGAAAGATTCTTCTGGCTTGGTTTGCATCGAGTCCAAAGGACCCGACCTGCAGTTGTGGGTATTTTATTCCAGGCGGGGGGGGGGTCTTTTTTTAAAAGCGGTGGTTCATATACACCGAAGGCAGGTTCCGAGGAGGCTCCCAAGAAGCTGGGAGAGAGATTGTGTAACCATTCCCTTCAGATCGTTTTCCTGCTCTGCCTCCTCCACTGCTTTTCCCATGAGGCGGGGGTGGACGGGAGGGGGAGGGAAGGGAACGGCAGTCTTCAAAACTCAGTTTGAAGCAAGTGTGCTTGAGCTGCTGCACGTTTGCTGCACTATTGAGGTTGCACACCCGTGCACGGTTTACTGGAGATAACCCATTGAACTCAGTGGGACTTACTTCTCAGTGCAAGACATGGATAGGGTTCCTTTTTTAGAATTAACTCCCACTGAGTTCAGTGACATCTAAGTGTGTTTAGGATTGTAGCCTCGGCAAGCTGGTGCATCTCGAAAGAAAGATCCTAGATCACTAAATCCATTATATGTGGATCATTTTTTAGCTCCCTGGTTCCTTCCAACCTTAGAGTTCTTTAATAGATTTGCAGCTTTTCTAAACAGGATTTTATTTTATTTTTTTGAATGGTGGTGGTGTCTAAGTGGGTGGAAACTTCCCCATCTCCTGCCCTAAAAATAATTTATACTATTTTGACATTTAAGTGTTAGATTGAGATTTCAGCCAGTATGTAGATGATGGCAAATGGATGGAGAGACAACCAGTTATACAGTCACACAAATAAATCTAATTAAGCATCTTGGCTTCAATGGGAAATGGTTAAGTAGCCCACAAGGATACACTAGATTGTGACTGATGTCCATCACTGGCTTCAATGATTAATTTTAGGAATTCTCAGTATTTAATGTGTACTGTTGAAAAGCAGTGGTGCTCCTATTGTAGCTGGACAATGGCTCTGCCATCACAAAAAAGCACTTAGGAATGTAGGCAGTTGCCTTATACCCAGTGAGATAATACTAGCTCACTGTTACCTAAATTGAGTGCTCATTACTCTCCAGGCTCTCAGTTCTCACATTTCTGGCTACCTGATCCCTCTAACTGGAGAATCCAGGACTTGAACTAGGGACTTATGCATGCTGAGCACGTGTTCTGCCACTTGAAAATGTGCACCAGAAGACCATATTGTCCACACATACTTTGACTCTACCCACATGTTCCCCACACATCAGTCCATCCAGAGGGAAAACATTGTGATGTGATTTAAAGGCAGGTCCACAGAGAACCATGTAAGGAATGCCACTAGGTTCAAGAATAGGTTTCATATGATATAGCATAGTGACTCAATTAAGTGAGCGTTAGAGTTGCTGACACCTGTATTTTATTAGATCAGTTAAGGCCATTAAATCTTGGCAATGAAATTTTTCAATAAAACTTGAATAAAACTTGGAGGTATTATGGCTACTCAAAAAAAAAAGGATCAGTCTGTTTAAGGAGTCTAAGGTGTCTTGTTATGACTATTTTTAAAGTGTTACCTTCTGTTGTTGATTACTAAGGGATATTCTTTTTCCAAATCTATGAAAACAGTTGAAAGCCCCTAATATTCTATCTTTGTTTAATCTCTATTATAAGTAACTTTATAAGAACCCATTAGATGTCACTGGAAAAATCCCCCCACTGATTTTATCTTCAGTGGTTTGCAAGACTTATAACATGCAATGAATAATGTTCCCTTGGTATTGATGGTAATAATAATTACTCCTTTTGCCAGTCTTCATTATTGTTGAAGTTAATTGCCAGCTTGGCTTGTCAGCTTTGCAAGTATCATGTTGTCACTTTTTGAAAAACTGAACTACTCTTTGTACCTCTAGCTAATATTTTCTGCAAACAGAACTATTCCCTCCTACTTGCTTTTCAACTAGATGGGGGCTGACTTAATTAACAGGAACCATGAACATCCTGCTCTCTTTGTAAGCTTACCTAACTTTCTGAACTTGAGGGAAGAAGGAAAAGGAAATACATGTTTGCCTTAATGTTTATGAGAAAAATCTTAAGATTAGCTTATGAAAGTCAGAAAGGATTTACTTCTTATTGCATAAATATTTGAAGTGCTATATGTTCCAAAAAGTTTTAATGTTGTGTTTTACTGTTGAATGTCTGTATTAGTCCTTTGTGTGTGCAGAAGACCTGGTGGCTAGCTTGTTCATGGAAAGTAGAAACATATGGAAAGACTATGTAAGAGTCAATCAGGGAAAACAAAGTCTTCCTGGGAACGTCGCTGTATAAACTGCTGCTACTAGGGAATGTTTTCCAAGAAAAAGTGTCCTGGGCTCATTCTTATTCTAGCCTTAGCTCTGGAGCATAGTTTAGTATGAGGGCCCAGCCATAGCACATACTGGTAGAATATTAATGAATTTTCATGAACAACTGTACTGCTTTTGCTAGCAACTTTTCCCATAAATAGTTATGGTTAATCCACAGAATAATCTACACATCCTAAGAGGTCTGTCCATATGACGGAAAGTATTTCATTGAGAAAGGATTACTTGACCAGGCAATTGCAGAGTCAGTTCATACAATCCTTGCTTTTCTGTCTATACCCAGCCGTAGTCATGCACATGATTGCTTTAACATGTGTGAATGATGGTTATCTTCAGTCTTACCTTATTGTGAAATGACGGTTATCCCAGCAAACTGAATAGTACAGGGACTACATAAAGTGCTGGTGTAGTAACAGGAACTGGTGTATCTATATGATTCTCCATTCACACAAGTTGTTCATGTGCATGGGGAATGGGAACTATATGCGTCCCAATAGTAGTAGTAATCATCGTCATCATCTGACCTGAAGTTGCAGTATCTGCATGCTCAGAGTTCCAAGATGAACTGGAGTTGGAAGGGTTTGCAGATACTCAAAATCTACCAAATCTACCACATGATAGTTACTGGCTGGATCTGGCGGTATCCCTAGGGTTGCTAGGACCAGGAAAGGAAGAAATGCTGGATACTCTATATTTAAAAATCCAAAATCCATCCATTACTCAAAACTGTTTCCATCTTGGGAGTTAACCAGGTTCTGAGCAACAATGCTGGAGATAATTTTATATCTCTTTCAATTGAAACCAAGCTGGGTAGCTTTACGTGGTAGTTATAAGGGAATGCTTAATACACTACTAACATGGTTTTTGGATTTTTTTTCCTTATTGCTAGTACAGCTACCTTTGCTTTGGCTTTTGGTGAGAGGGAATTCATGTGGGAGGACATTTCATATGACACAAATATATTGTGGTCATGTTTTCCAAATAAGGCAATTTGTCCATACCTCAAACCATACATTAAACTGTATAGAAGTAAATAAGAGCTTTTGCAGTGGAATTCTGTACCATGTCTACCTGGAAGTAAATTACATTACATTCACAAAGTTTATTCCCAGTGAAATGATGTAAGATGCCACCTAAATGTAGTACTTCATGCTTGGGCTAAAGGCACATTATTCCAGAGCATTACATTTGAAAGCCCTGAGCTTTAAAAATACGAGCAACAATTATCTTCAAATCTTATTGTGTGGGCTGAAATAGATGGTAATTTAGAATATTTCTCTGTGAAAAGTAAAGGTTGTTGTAGTTGGTGTTCTCTTTTGGGGATATAGCTACAGGAATGCAGTTGTCTGCAATTATTTTACTGCTAATTTCTGTATTTGAATTCAATGCACTTATTCAACTTTTTCTTGTATTTATGTATGTTGTGATTTGGGAATCCCTCTGGGAATTCAGGTGCACTGATAAGCATTAATATAACATACTTATAACTTCATACATATAACTAATCAATAAAATGAAATGTTTAAAACTAAAAATATCCTACTGCCTCAGACAGAGATGAAGGCAGCCGTACACCAACAATGAATTTTAAATTGCAGTCAAATTCTTCTTCTTTTTTGCATCTGTGCAAACAAAAATGAGATCAATCTTGCAAGGTAAGTAGTTGGAGGATCAGAGCTACTATTTTTATTGAATTCAAATTTAAATTGGTTTAATAATAGCTTTACATGTGCCTGCTGAGCAAGTTAACCCCTATTCCTTTTCCTAAAATAGTAAGCTGCTTGCATTTCTTGCAGAATCTGAAAGAAAAAAAAACTTTTAGTTGCTGACAAGTATATACAGCATGGGTCCTTAAACTACGGCCTGGGGGCCGGATCCGGCCCACCATGCCCATTTATCCAGCCTGCCATGCCCATTTGGACCCACCTTGCCCCGCACGCAGGGAGGCAGTGGCTTACTCGCTCAGAGAAAACGATCACCGAGCGAGCAAGCCACTGCCTCATGCACCTGCCTCGCAGCGCATGCCTG